GGCACCTCCCGCCCACTCATCCTGATGTACATTTTGCAGCTCTGGGGCCCCCTCCGCCTCTGGATCTGGATCTGGATCTCTCTCTCTCTGCACCTCTGCTCCCCACACAGACCCAGGATCTCCCCTCCCAGCCCAGGCTGCCAGGAGCGCCCCCGTGTTCAGGGTCCCGCCCCCACCAGACTCCGCCCCCATCTCCTCCCACAACCACCTTTCCATCAGGCTGGTGCAGAGGCAGCAAGAGCGGGTCAGAACCAAGTGGGCCACAAAAGACCCTGCATTCAGGGCCTGCGTCCATCTTTTGACCCTGTCCACTGCCCTCCTGTGCACACACAGCACATTCCAGAAAACACGTTTAGAAAGAGGAGAATCGAACTTGATAAAGCAAATCCTACAGAAGAATGTAAACCCCTCCATAACAACAGGAGGAAATCAAGCTCCCCCTCCTCCTCTTCCTCATTTTAAACAAGGGGCCAGGATGTTGAAAACCCAAGTGACCTGGATGACACAGAGGAGGGCAACCCACTTACCCAACCTCAGATATGGGAAGCCACACCCACCCAGGTAAAGGTCCCCAGTGCAAAAATAACACCCACCAGGAGGCAACCAGGTTCCCTATTCAAAGTGACTGGGGGCAGCTCACAGCACCGCCTCCACACGGGCTTCCTACACTGGCCTGGCCAGAACGCAACACACAAGCCAGTGTCACGTGTGATGTGTCACACAGCGCTGAGTGCTGGCGATGTTAATTCTCACAACTGTCCTAGATGGCTATCACGACTCTCCATCATACCCATTCTACAGATGGAAAAGCAGAGGCGCATATACACTGTGGTTCTTAAAAGAAAGTACGACTTTCATCTTCTACATTCTAAGTGAAAACATAACCATAGATAGAATCAGCAGCGATGAGGAGCTAAGACAAGATGCCACGAGAGCCGGTGTCAGAGGCTACCCTGGACTGGGCAGCAGAAAAGCCTTGGGATGCATCAGTGACAGGTAGGAGCCCACCAGGGACGATCTAGACAGACGAGTCACGGATCCCAGAACCCCCACGTCACCCCCAGGATGCACCTGTCACTTGTTCTGTCTCAGAGCTCAGGGCTGGGCCCAGACATCTGCATTCTTCAGGGTTCCCTTGGGGTCTGTCGCTTGGAGCCCAGGTTTGGGAAGCATGGAGCTCCACCCTTGGCTGTGTTCAAACATGCCACGTTCCACCGCCAAGAGACGCCTGGAAACTCTGGTTCTTCACACGGACCAAATGTTTGTGTCCCCTGACTCCCCAGAGTTTGCAGGCGGAAGCCCTAACCCTGGTCTTTGGAGGCAGAGCCTTGGGAGGTGACCAGGGTTGGATGAGGTCTGGAAGGTGGAGCCCTGTGATGGGATTAGTGCCAGTGCACGCGAGTGCTGGCTCACACTGTCTCTCATGCATGCACCCACGTGAGCACACAGCACAGAGGTGGTAGTCTGATGGTCCCAGCTCCCTCAGCACCTGGAGCTGGGACTTCCAGCCTCGGCTTTGTGAGCGACCCGTGTGTGTGACCGACTTCGCCCAGTGTGCAGTGTTTTGTTCCGGCAGCCTCAGAGACGGCGGTTCCCACGGTGGGGGCAGGGGTCAAAGTCACAGCTGCTCACTCTGATTTCGCACTTTCCCATGGAGGTACCCACTTCCTGTTTCTATTAATTTTTTAGAATTTCAGAGGCAGAGAGAGAGACCTCCCATCTGCCCACTGGTTCCCCATATGCCCGCAATGACCAAGACTGGACCAGGCTAGAGCCAGGAGTTCAGTCCAGGTCTCCCCTGGGCATAGCGAGAATCCAAGCTCTGGGGCCATCCCCCCTGCTGCCTGCCAGGTCTGGAACCAAGAGCTGGGTATCAAAACCAGCATCCCAGCGGCCATCTTAACTGCTAGTCTAAATTCCTGCCCCCTGCTTCCTGTTCAGTGCTTCCTCTGCACTGACCATGAAAATAAACATCTTAACCCTAGGAGCGAAGGTCAAGTCTTAAAAGCTCTGGGGGAAAATTACAGATCTGCCACAGACATCACCTGTCAAACACGAGGCAGTATGGGTTTTTTAAAACTTCCTTAAATTAAAAAACAATGGGTTTTCAGCAGAGTGGCTGTCGCACCAAGCCTTCCCCTTCCTTTAAGAGCCAAATACTTACCGAACACCCATCCTGCGTGGAGGGGCTAGCAGGGCTCCAGCCCAGTGCCTTTTGGCCTTTGGGGCCCCGCTGGGATACAGATTCTGATTAAGTGGCCGGCCCACGATCCTGCATTCCTAACAGGTTCCCGGGTGATGTTTCGCAGTCACACTGAGAAGCAGGGCTCTCGCCCAGGGAGCAGAGACTCTGGTTTCATCTAGTCATCTCCTAGGGAGCTCTTAAAAATGTACGACTCCTGGGGTCCTGCCCCCAGACAGATCAGACACTGTGGGGTCAGTCCTGGCATTTAAAAGTGCAGTCACCCGTTCAGTATTCTTGGGGGTTGGTTCCAGGGCCCCCCCAAGACACCAAAATCATAGCTGCACACCAAAATCATAGCCCCTTATACAAAAGCACAGGGTATTTGCATAACCCATGCACACCCTCCTGTATACAACCAGCCATCTCCAAATCACCTCCGACACCTCATACAAGGTCAATGCTATGCAACGCTGTGCACTGTTTAGGGAACAAGGACAAAGGGAAAACTGCACGTGTTCCGTGCAGATGCAGTTTCTCAATATTTTCAACCTGCAGTTGGTTGGATCTGTAGAAGTGAAATCCACAGGTGTGGACAGCCCACTGTGCATCTGTCGCTCTGGAGGCAACCTGAATGTGTGACCAGAAAGATGACTTGGCCCTCTGGGCACGCGCAGGCAGCCCTCAAGGGCAGGCAGAGGACAGCCGAGTTATTCTGGATGGCGAGATGTCACAGAAGCAACGTGGAACGTGACACGGCAGTGATGGGGTTGAGGTGGGGAGCTACAGGTGCACTTACACCAAAACACAAAGGAGGGGACCAAAGGCCACCACCAGGGACTGGGGACACGGCCCAGGCAACAGGCCTGTTTTCCACAAGGAGTCCCCACGGGAGACGGGCGCAGGGCCCCATTCATACTTTCAGGAGACAGCACTACTCCTCACAGAGAAGCATCCAGACGCTGAAGGATGTTCCCAGGGCTTGCACCCCTGTTTCTGAACACCAGCTGTGGGCAGCACGTTGATACAGTGCAAACCCCTTAAAAGGTCCCTCTTCCCATGCCCCCGAGAGACCTCATCTGGGAGCCTGCGCTGTGGCGTAGCAAGTTAAGCTGTTGCCTGTGATGCCAGCATCTGACGTGAGCACCGCCCCGCTCCCGGCTCGTGGACTAGGAAGTGGCAGAGGAAGATGGCCCAAGTGCTTGGGCCCCTGCACCCACGTATCTGTTGCTAAAGGTGCTGCCCACTCTGCTTAACAGGGACAGGGTCAGCCTCCTGACCAAGCAGGACAGTACCTTTGATCAGGCAGTGGCTAAAGATACAGGGGCCACTGTGGGGGGGGAGGAGATCTCCAGCCTAAGAAACAGGGCCCAGGCTAAGCCGGCACGCTCAGACCACACCTGACAGACCACCAGAGGCGACAGGGCCAACCCAAGATACGAGAGAGCAGCTGCGACCAGAGACAGGACAAAAAACGTCCTACCCCTGACTCTCCATCCGGGGCAGCAAAGCTCTACCCGTGTGGACAAGGCCAATTCCGGCATGGCAGGTCCCTGGAGCAGCAGCAGGGGCCCCACACCGGCTGTCCCTGCCCTGAGGCATGTCCACCATTTGGAGTCATGGACCCAAGTGGCACCCAGAGATCCACCTCCCTGCCGTATGGAGGAAGACACAGTGGGGCAGGTTAATGACCTGCGGGGTCGCCAGGGAGGGCTGGACTGCCCAGGAACGCACGTCCAGCATCAAGGAGAACCCCAGCTCTCCTCCGCCAGCCTCTGTTCGCCCACCTGCCACAGCCCAGGGTGCTACTCGGGGGCCCCAAGGGGAGGGAAGGGGATGGTGTAGATAACAGGATGGCAGGTGGAGGGAAGACCTCCGCTTCACAAACAGGGAACCCAGGAAGCCTGCGGGTCACACAGGCCGACTTCCACACCAGCCTCAGCGCTTAGGAGTCTCGGGACTTTGAGCAGCTCGCGTCTTCCTCGCTGCCCCACGGAGGGTGACAAGGAAACACAGCAAGACCCGACGTGCCCACACCCACTCCACCGCCTTGGAGCTCTGCCTCCTCCCACACAGAGCCTCAGCAGGTTCTCCCAACAACCCTGCGGCAGGCAGCTGCTAGAATCCGCCCATTCTACAGGTGAGCACACAGAGATTCCAAGAGAACATGCGATTTGCCACTCGTAACACCATGTATAATAAAATCTCATAATCCCCGCGAGGCTTTTGAATGCATCATCCCACTGGGACCTCTCACAAGACCCCCAGAGCTGGAGCCACAGCTACAGCCCACGCACTTTGCTGCTAAGAGGGTACACTCTCTCCACCCAGGAACCTTCTTCCCTCATTACAGCCTGCTTATGACAAGATGTCACCTCTGGGGGCCCCACTGCCCCTGCTCGCCTCCAGAAGTCTGAAAAGAAACTTCCAAACTGCTTCCCAGGACAAGCAGAATCTGCCTCCCAGGCAGAATGGTGCCGCGGGCACTCGTGTCCAACCCCCTGGCCGCTGCCCCAGTGAGCTCCCCCCCCAAGGACCTCCCCCTAGAGCAGCTGGATTTGCAGCCCCAAGAACGTGCAGTGAGCAAGAGAGAGAAATCCACCCCCGGGGCAAACAAACATACATCCAGAGCGGGGGGGAAGTAGCCTTCAAGGGCAGAGCGAGAACGAAAAATAGAATTTTCCAGGTCCTGCCTGCAACCTTTTAAGTCGTTGGATAAAGCAAGTCCTGTGCCACTCCGGCGAGAAGTCCACGCAAGCCCCTTCTCTGGCCAGGCCCAAGGCCTGGGGGAAGCCCGGGAGAGAAGAATGTGTCTTACCAGGGTCTGTGCAGTTCTTGGCGGGCTGGGTCTCGTTCATGGATGCCATCAGCTTTCTATTTCTCCACGAATCGGGAAGGACACCATTGCTGGCAGAAGCTGTTGTGTGCCCTGGGATGAGAAAGAAGTCGGAGACACCAGTGACCACTGTGAAACCTGCAGCCCCACAACCACCTTCCGTGTGGGTAAGTGGCTCCGCCAGCAACACCCTGCCTGCCTGCGTGGAACCATCTGAAGGGAGTGACACGATGGTTGTCAGGACACCGCCTGCTTGCACACAGGCCTGTGTTTCCCAGATCTAAGTCACTTCTCATTGCAGGTGGCTCGGTATGTGATGACGGGACCTTGGCCACGACGGAGCCGCCTTAGCTCCTCGCCGGTGCGCACTGGGTTTCGACAGGTGAACACGAAGTTCCCGTTCACAGTTCAGGTGGCTGTGCCCTGGAGGAACCAGAAGCAGGTGCAGCTGATGGGGGCTGGCCCAGGGCGTCTCACACTTGAGTGTGGGCACAGATCACCTGACTGTGCTGGATTTGGGGAGGAACCGGGCTGTTCCAGGTGAGCCGATTCAGCTGGAAGGAGGGGCCCTGAGCAGCACAGGGGTGCCAGGGGCTGAAGACGCTTAGACCCCTGCACCCAACTCCTGCCCGCCCATAAAGGCGAGTCTCGTGCCAGGACCTTCCAGGCGTTCACCTGTGCCGTCTTAGCAGGGTCGCGAAGCCTCCCCAGGGCGCTAACACGGGCAAGCCTCAGGGATTTTGTTCTTTCTGGTGCATCATCTGTGGAGGAGAGCCTCCGACGTGCCCCACAACGAAGCACCAGGCACGGAGACGCTCCAAACCACCTTGCTGGGACCCTTTTCAAAGAGTCACTCTTGAACCTCGACTCACAAAGCTCAGATTCTGAAAGGCACCGGTGCTTCTGAAGTCCCATCAAGTTCACTTGGGAACGGATGGCCATTCCCCTCCGCAAATTCTCCCTCCATGGCCGGCGCAGGTACCACCTGCTTTACCTCCAGGTAATCCCCAGCATTTCCTTCAGTTTTTACATTGAAAAAAAAAAAAAAAAAAAAACTAAAAGGCCTACAGTATCCAATTCAGAATCAGAACAGGAGAAGGTTGCAACCCCCCCCCCCCAGCCCCACACAATTTTAAATGTCCTCCCTGGACCTGAACTGTGCATATCCTAAGCACCCTCCTCCTCCTCCTGACTGGAGACCGTGGCTGCACGCACCAGCCCTCTCCTTCCGTCGGCATGAAGGGGAGTAGCCACGCGGAGACAGCAGCAATCCCCACGCGGGGCCAGGTTGCCCCCAGGATTTAGGGATGGGGAGCCACGTCAGGAGCCCCCAGAGCCCCTTTGGGCCGGTTCTGAGGCGAGGACAGCGCCGAGATCCGGCAGCAGCTCCCCAGCTTCCAGCGTTTCCAGGGATGCGATGCCCAGCGGGAGAGCGGACCGCCCCCTTTCGCTCACCCCAGCCCCAGAGAACCCTCGCTTGGGCCCCGCCGCCGTGCGGTCCATGCCGGGCGCGCGCTCCGGGGACAGAAGCGGCTTGCCTTTCACCTTAGTAACACACACCTACAGCCGCGTCCTGAGGCCGCAGGGGCCGCCGCGGCTCAGGGGGACCGGCGCCACAACCCAAGGCGTCGATCTGCCCTCTTGGGAGCGCTCTACCTGCCTAGCAGGGAGGGGGCTGGACGAACCCTTGGGACGCACCTGGCAAGGAAGGAGGGGGTGCTGACCTGAGGATTCCCAGCCCAAGCCCCGCAAGTCCCCGGGCAGCGGGGGCCCGCACCGGCACCTACCCATACTCCCGAAGAGGCTGGAGGCACAGCACACCAGGGCCAGCACCGCACACACGAAGCCAACTTGCTGTGGCAGCATCTCTCGCCTCCTGCGAACTTTGTGCGGCCGGAGGGTCCGGCGGAGCGCCATCGCCGCGCGCCGGGGTGCAGCTCCTGGGAGACTATGGAGAGCGGCGGGGGTCGGATGCTATCCCTGGCCCCGCGGCGCTGGGGCTGGAGCCGGCAACGCGCAGATCAGAGGCAGGGGGCTCCGGGCCGCAACTGCATGGCCCGCGGGCGAGGTCGGCGAGGAAGCCAGAGAGGAGGTTGGGGACGCGCGCCGCGGTTGGAGCTCAGAGTCCCGCGCGCGGCGTGCGCGCTCCGCGCACCATGGCTCCGTGGCGAGAAGGCGACGCCGGCACGGTGGCGCTGGCGGCCCCGGCTAGCAGGGCTGGCGCAGTCCCGGCGCTGGAGCCGCTACCTGCCCGCTCCGCCTGGGCGCGCTCGCCTGGCCACAGCCCTGGCAGCAGCGCCCGGGGGAGCCCGCGGGCAGCACTCAGGGCGCCCCCGCGCCCCGCGCCGCCGCGCCCCCTCGCATCCTCCTCCTCCAAGTTCAGCAGCTGCACGCCCGGGTGCCGGCCCGCGATGTTCCCCTGCTTCCGAGCGCGGCAGCGACCCGCGACCCTCTCCGCCAGCCGCCGCGCCGTCGGCCCTCCGGGGGGCGAGCTCTCCCCGGGAACTTTCAGGCTCCTCGGCTGCCGGCGCTGGCGTCTGCGAGGCCGCGCCGCCTCCCGCTAGCTGCTCTCGCTTCCTACTCCTCCCCGCCCCCCGCCCCGCGCACCTCCCACCCCTCGCCAGCACGTGGACGCCTCCCCTCCCCTAGGGCGCAGCCGCCCGCGGGCTCCTCCCTTGCCCCGCGAGGCCCAACTACTGATCGGTACACCCTCCTCTGGCTTCTCCCCTTTCCTCTGCCTCCCTCCCTGCGGAGCCTAAGCGAGCCCGTCCTTTACCCTCAAGGCTGCTGCACCGAGGAACGGGTTACGGCGCCGCCGGAGACTCGCGGAGCCAGGTTTTCTGCAGAGGGGTCGCGTCTGTGCGGGGTGGGGCCCCCGCGAGCCCCCTTGGCGACCCCTCCACGCCAGCGTGCGTGGTGCCCAGAAGGTTAACAGCTCGTGCAGAGCTGACGAACAGGCTCGCACCGCGCCCGCGCCCGCCGGGGCTCTGGGGGCTGGCAGGGACGCGGGTGGCGGGGGCGCCGTGCCGACCTGTGCAACGCTGCAGACCAGGCAGCCCCGCCACCGAGAGTTGAGCTTTTGATGTCCTGGAGCTTTGCCCAGAGCGTCCCGGTCTTGTGTTCCCTTCTGCTCAGCTCTCTAGTGTAAACCGCTTTAAACAGGGGGCAGGGGAGAGCGTTTGAGCAGAGCGGCTGCGGTGTGACCCAGGTGCAGGCAGGTGGAGGGGGGTGGGGACGACCTCCAGGACCGCCTGCCTTCCCTGGCCGGTTCATCCCGCACCTAAGAGGGCGTTAAGTCCACTTAAAATCCTTTTGGGAGCAAAGCCAGCTCTGGTTAATTAAATAAATACCCACCCGTGTGTGCGGGGGCCCGGGCCAACTGCCAGCCAGGAAAAAAAAAAAAAAAAAAAAACAACGCGGGTAAGAGCCTGGCTCTGCTTTCAAGGAAGCCTGACTCGAGAGGGAGCAGACACCTGCGAAGGCTCCTGGAGTCACCTTTGAGGTCTGTCCGGGAGCTGGGGAGACAGACACAGGGACCCCCACCCCCACCCCCCAAGTCTACTGACTCTTGGCTGTGTTTCAGCAGAGCCCGGGAGATCTGTGTGCACAGTTCAGGGCGAGAAGCACTGGCTTCTCCAGGCTGTTCCAGTGCCTGCCCCGGGTCCCCCCCTGCAAGATTGAGTGAGCAAGGGGTCATTTTGCGTGTGTGGGTCCCAGCATCTCGTGGGAGGCCGGCAGTGCCTAGAGAGGAGAGGGAGGAGGTTTACAAGTTACTGTCAGCAGCGCAGCATCTGTCCGTACCAACAGATACTGAAGGCATGAACACAAACTAGCTGAGTGCAGTCCCTGGAGGGAAGGAGACGAAGCAGCCGTGGAGGGAACAGGGGAGGCTCTGTTTAGGTGGAAGACGCCTCACCTTCCGCCACGCATGCCCGCGGCTGGCTCAATCAAGACACACTTCCTCTCTTGTCGGCAGAATTTTCTTCTCGTTCCGGGGACGGGGAACCTTTTTTCTGCCAAGGGCCATTTGGAGAATTTTCGCATCATTCATGGGACATACAAAATTACCAGCTTAAACATTAACCTGCTGTGAAAGTACAGGGTCACCTGCGGCTGCAGGGCCAGACCAGATGATTTCCTGGGCTTTATAGGGCCCACGGGCGGGACGTTCCCCATCCCTGGGGCCACACAAGGATGCATTCATCAGTAGCAAAGACCATAGAACAGAGTTATAAGCATCACCTGGGATGCTAGCCAAAGGCTCTTGCCATCAAATGTAAGCCAAAACAGGGTGCAGCCATTCAGCCTAGCAGTTAGCTGCTGGCTTCCCATATCAGGTGTCTGGGTTTAGTGCCAGGCTTCTAACTCCAGCTTCTTTCTAAGGCAGACCTGGTGATGGCAGGCAGCAGTGACGGCTCAGGTAATTAGGTTCCTGCCACTCACTTCGGAGACCTGGATTGAATCCTGGCTCCTGGCTGAGGCCCTGTCTGGACCCCAGGCACTGCAGGCATTTGGAGAATGAACCAGTGGATAGAAGGGCTCTTCTCTCTCTCTCTCTCTATTTCTCTTTCTCTCCCCCTCCGCCTCTCCCTCCCTCCCTCCATCCTCACTCTCCTTCCCTCTCTCCCAATTAAAAAAAAAAGGCATTTAAGCCGTAAGAATAAGTCAAAGTGATATCGTGCTGCCTGTCCACAATGCCTTGTTAAGGTCACATTGGTTAAAGCAATGCCGGTGAACAGAATGGCATCTTGTTTGTGACTAGGATTTAATACATCCTTAACATGTCGCCCTTTGAGCTCACTCCGGGCTGGGAAAAGCAGAAACGTTGGAATCGGCAACAGGTCACAGGAACCACTCGGCATCTGTCCTTAAACATTTAGCCTGCTCCAAACACTTTTTCTTCCTTCACATTTTTTGCCTGCTTTTAGTTAATAGAACCCTTGGAATAATTTCACATGCACAAATGAATTCCTTCTCTTTGACAGGTGAAAAAGCAACTGGCTTGAAAGTGTGCTTTTTGCCTCATTTCAGGAGGGCGCATTACCAGGCAGCCTTGCTGCGGCTCTGCTGGCCCACCCTGTGAAGGGAGAAGGGGGTTTTACACACTGCTCAGATTCGAAGCGTTCAACAGCATTTTCTAACTCAGCAAGGCCACAGGGACACTTGGAAAATCCATCCCTGGGTTCACCTGGGGCGTCAGTACCTTTTGGTCCGGGTCTCTTCTGGCTGCTTCTGCTTTGACCCCATGGGAGAGGCAACATGACCAGTTGCAGCCGTTTTTGCTAGGAAGCCTCAGGCTGTGGGGGATGGCAAGAGCCATCGTTCGTTAGAAATCCTTCCCTGTGCCGGCGCCGAGGCTCACTAGGCTAATCCTCCGCCTATGGCGCCGGCACCCCTGGTTCTAGTCCCAGTCAGGGCGCTGGATTCTGTCCCAGTTGCTCCTCTTCCAGGCCAGTTCTCTGCTGTGGCCCGGGAGTGCAGTGGAGGATGGCCCAAGTGCTTGGGCCCTGCACCCGCATGGGAGACCGGGAGGAAGCACCTGGCTCCTGCCTTTGGATCAGCATGGTGCGCCCACTGCAGCAGCCATTGGAGGGTGAACCAATGGAAAAGGAAGACCTTTCTGTCTCTCTCTCTCTCTCTCACTGTCCACTCTGCCTGTCAAAAAAAATTAAAAATAAAATCCTTCCCTGTGACAAGGTGAACCCCACTGTTAGTTCCCTCCATTTTCTGAGGCACCTTTGGTGACCTGCTCTCTCTTCATCCCCTGTCTATGTGCTGCTGGATCACGTGCCTGCCTTCCGCCCCTGGTTCTCGGAAGGAGCTGCCTGGGAACCGGTCGGAGGATGGGCTGCAGCTTGAAGTGCAGGGGTGGGGTTTGGGGCCATTTTCCAGGGAATGCCTCCGAGTTCCTTATCCTCACCTCCTCGAGCCTCGTGGCTCCCACTGCCTCTCCTCTCTCTGAAGACGCACTGGGAAAAAACTGGATTACGGGCCACGTGCTTGCGCGCCACTGACTTGGCCCCAGACCACTGAGAAGACCCGGGATCTAGGCCGCTCCTGGCCTGGGCGCGGATGACATTTGGGAAGGGAACCAGCAGGTGGAAGATATTCTTGTTGATGGTCTCTGCCTCTCACTCTCTCTCTCTCCTCCCCTCTGTAACTCTGCCTTTCAATAATTAAATCTTTAAAAAAAAAAAAAAAACACAGATTGCTGAGCTCTACCCCAGAGTTTCTGCTTCATTAAGCTCAGCTGGGACCTGGGAATCTGCATTTCTGACAAGCTCCCAAGTGAAAAGGCTGAGGGACCACTCCTCAGGACCCCACGCGAGGTCACACTATGTAAGAGTTTCTGGTCTACCGAGAGGTAGCGTGAGGGCAGGCATCTGCTGCAGCGGAATCCACAGCAGAGTGCCTGGGGCTGAGTCCCGGCTCCGCTCCTGATCCCAGCTCCCCGCCAATGCACACCGTGGGGGCAGCAGGGGTGGCTCGAGTTCCTGCACCCACAGGGAGACCTGGACTCAGTTCCCAGCTTCCAGCTTCAGCCTGGCCCAGCCTCATTTGCATTTGGGAAGTGAACCAGCAGGTGCTCGCTCGCTTGCTTGCTCGCTCTCCCTCCCCCCTCCAAATAAAATAAATTTCTTAAAAAAAAAAAAAAAAGCAGAGTGTGTCTTTGAGAAGGGTCACCTGCCGTCCCACACTGCTGCCCGCATGCCAGGGGACGGACAGTGGAGCCCCTGAGCCTCCAGGGCTGCCCTGCAGTGCTCTGGCCTAGAACCGACGTGCTCACCCCTGCTCACCACTCGGGAACCAAGGCGAGTCATTGGCTCTGCAAAGTGCAGAGGAAATCCCAAGGTGCCATTCTCGCACGGCGGGCTGGGATCTGCCCTCTGCAGGGGACAGCCCCAAGGAGGACTCTCCTCCTCCTCCTCGCTGTGACCACGCCTGGGCCCCTGCCTCGTCCCTCGCAGGGTCAGTCCTGCAGTCTTCAAAGCTTGGGTCTCCCTGGTAGCATTTCCATCACGTTGCTTCGTGGTATCCATGAGAGAAGCCTCGGCTCCAGACACGGTGCCCGGCCACACAAGCTTCACCAAGAATTTCTGGAATGAGGAACTCGGGACCCTTTGGCCTACAGGGGGGAAGATAAAGCATGATTGCCCCCGGCAGGAGTGCCCGCCCTCGCCATCCCTTCAGCACCCCCGGGTTTCCACCCATCTCCCTTCCCAGCAAGGTCACCTGCAGCCTGTGGCTACATCTCAGCAGAGCTGGGCGCTCTCACACGCACCCTTCTTGTAACAGTCACGTGCCGGACGCTCCTCCTCCGCCGCCCGGCTCCTGTCATCCTAGTGGGGCGCTCAGCTCCCTCTGTCCCCTTCTCGCCCTCCACCCCTCCTCCCAGGGAGCCCATCCGTCCTGTCTTCGCTGCCGACTCAGCAGTCGGTGTTTCCGGCCGGAGCCTTCTCAGTACTTCTCACCTGCGGGTCTGGGGACCATCCTTGCCGTGCCACCTCTTCCCCACCCCCCTCCCGCCCCTGGCCACCCAGGCACCCATTGACAGCTCTGTGTCCCCTTCTCATCTGGA